ATCGTATACTTTAGTAGTATATTTATTTTAAATTTGTTTTGGCATTACGTGACTTTTTTTTTTCGAAATTCACTTTTATCCTCGCTTGAACCCAGACCAATGACCGATAAAAGTTTCGCTCTTACTACTCGAACTAGGCATTGACCTCAGAATTGATCTGACTTTGAGTGATTTTATTTTTAATAATTTATGCCAACTGATATTAAAATTTGATTCTACCTTGTGATTATGAACGCTCTCACGTCATCCGTTTCATGTTGTCATAATTCATTTTTTTTATTCCCCAATGTTAATAAAAGCACTATTGCAAAACTGTATATTTGAAAGAAAAACTAAAATAAAAAGTAAAAATTGATAAATAAAGAAGTGTTCTCAATGAACAAGATAGAACAAATAGAGAAAAAAAAAAGAACACCATATTATAATTAAATAACATTACTTGGTTACAAATGATTTGATCTTATTAACATAACAATGATGAATTATTTGAGATGAGTGTTAGTAACCGTCCCGAAGAAATGATACCATTCAAAGAAATATAGGAATTAAGAAATTTTGAACAAATGACCTTTCTTAATTTTAGTACTCGTTTTTACAACCTACCATTTCTTGCACTCATTCTTCGAACATTCTATGACCGTGTCACTTATGTCTTTAGCTCCCGAAATGTGACACTAATGTTGGACTAAAGGCGTTTAAATTTTACTTTAGGTTCTATTGTTCACTAAGAAATGATTTCCACTAGTTAAGCATGTCTTTGAAATAAAGAATAGTTTTTTTTTTTTTTTTCACATTAAAGGACTAGTCTTCTTATTCATATCTCATGAACCCAAATTTCAAACTTAACGAGTCCGGACAAATAGAAGATAGACTTAGGGGGTGGGAAGTGGGGTTAAGATATGCTCGATAGCTTGACTTGCCGCCACTCATTGGCAGTGGCGGACCCTCAATTCGGGCGGACGTTGACCATTGATTGTCAACAATTAACGATCGTAAGAATGATGTCTTTTATAAATATTTAAGTAAATAATATTAAAAATTATTCAATATATATGGAACAGGTATAAACTTCCGTTTCAGTTGAAAAAATCGTTCCATAATTTACAATTGCAAAATGCTTCAATTTATTTTTCAATTTCAATTGATTAAAAAAAGCAGAGTACTTATTGTTGAATCGTAATTTCCAAATCACAACTCAATGACTCATTAATGATAAATTAAAATTCATAATTCAAACAATAGTGCAACATAAATTCTTTACCCCAAATCACAAATTCACAAATAAGTGAAATCACAATTCTCATTTCAAATTTTTAATGCCAATTTGCCGAATTAA